TATATAATGTAGGGAATTATTTTAAGCATAAAAATATATCATTTAAAAAAATTTTTAATTAAATTTTCCTGGTTTCTTTCTCTTTTTTTTTTTTCTTTTCCAGGCATAGCATCGCCCAGGAAATCTAGAGACGGATCACTGTTGCCAAATGCTCGACGTCTGAGTTTCGTCATGCATCACGACGTAAGCGAAAAGGACCCTCACTTCAACATTCTTCTAGTATTTTGGGGCCAAATGCTGGACCACGACATGACTTTAGCCGCGCCTACGCTAGGTAATAATCCCATAAAAAACGACGTCACACATCCATCTTGTTACGTGACTGACACGATGGTTATAACGGTGAAAGTGAGAAGACAATTAGTTTAGCCATTCCTTCGCGTCACATTTACAACGCCCAAAAAATATGATATATATATATATATATATATAACACTCAAAATTGTTCCAGTTAGCAGAGATTCGTGCGATGAAAACTAGGACATCTGATCACCTCCTGCTTTCTTTTTTATTCCCTTATTGTTAGAACCGTCGTCCTTATCTACATAAATTATAAGGAAAGATAATAAAATTAATATTATCGATTTACGTATTCTTTAGCCTTTACGTAAGACTCTACGAAAAGAGAAGACAAGGCTATTCAGGCTATTCACATTAATGGTCGAAAGTTTTTTTAGAATACTTTTATCTCGAAAAACAAGTTATTTTCTGATACTGATTTTTTGGGTTGTGAGTTAATTTATTATTATTATTATTATATGTAAGTCGATAGAATATCAAATTGAAATGTGTTGGAATTTGATATTTATTTTTTTTAATATCAAGTGGACGAAAGTTTTTAGAAATTGCAGCATTATCTTACTGCCAAAGCCATTTCCCCCGTGAGAAAAGTTTTCTCTAAAATATAGAAATGTTCTTTTCATACTTTTCTTCAATGAATTTGATTATCAATTTTCCCCAAATATTTATGGCACCTAGAATCATTATGGAGCCACCTCCTTGCTGGCATATTTTACGATGAGGTTCTATCATAATTCCTGCAGTTTTTTCAGGATTATCCAGACTTGGTATTATCTAGACTCTCCAAACAAAAAAGTTTTTCATCACTAAATAATTAAATTAGTATTGGAATGTTCTGTGATATGTTTTTTTTGCAAATTCAACACATTGGTATATATGGTTATCTGTCAATGGCAGGTCCTTCTTCACTTTTTCATAGGAAAAGTTGTCGCCAGAGCCATAAATCGTCAAATAGAATGCCAGGAAATACCTAATTTGAGCTTTCTTTGATACTTTGACTGTATGGTCTCTTGCTATTCTGTTGCGGTCATGTCTTTCTTGTATTACTTTTTGGAGCTCAATATGTTTGTCTTTCTTCCAACTTTTGTTATGCAATACATTGAAAATTACTTCCCTTTGATTCTTAGCTTTTATATGTGCAGTTTTAATATACGAGGTATATTTGCGGAACCAATTAACCGCATATATAGATTTTCCTATTAATAGAAAATATCCATTCGTAAACTTATAAAATAAATTTAAAACCGATCATTATAATTAGTAATTTTGACAGGTAAAATTCATTCAGCTTTATTTAGATTGTAGAAATTTTTGTTTTGTAAAGCAGGCTTAACCACAACAAAAAAAAAAGAATTTTTTTTTAAAAATAACACCGAATAACACTGGAAGTTCGTTCAACTGTTTTCTTGAAATAAACAACACGAATTATATTACCCTCATCAGAATACGCGGTTGATAATGAAAAAACTTAACGACCCTATATCGTACATCATAGTTGAATAATCCTTAAATCAATTGACATTCAATGTTCAATGGACCCATTTCGCGGATGTGACATTACACTGCCTGACCTATATCTGTTAAACAATACTATACAAGTCGAGAATTAAAATCAAAACTTCGAAAATATATTTGTTTGTTTAAGAATTTTTCACGTTAACCAGAAAAGAAATATATTCATTTAATATTTATACATATTTTAAAATGATAATTGTGGCACATATTATTTAATAGATTAATATAAAATCCTTATACAGGTTACATAATACCAGTCGACTCCCCTATAACACTGTTGATAATTCCGTTTTATATGAATTCCATGTTGTACGAGTCACTTAGATTTTACAAATACGTGTGCCAGGCTGTGAACGGCTCACGTATTTGTAAAATCTAAGTGACTCGTACAACATGGAATTCATATAAAACGGAAAAATCAACAGTGTTATAGGGGGTCGACTGTA